GGAAAGGGACAGAAAGGAGCTGAGAAGCAAAAATGGGGACAAGGAGCCAGTGTTAGCAAAGGGTGTGTTTCTTACCTTAATTGCTTTGTGTGTGCTCAGCTTCTTCACCATTGACAGAAGCCAGATGCAAGCTGCCTGCCTAACGTGTGGGTTGGGGCTGATAATGTGCTTGTTCAAAACAAGGTCTAGGACCCAGGGAACCACATCATTCGCTTTCAGATCTGCAGAAAAGAAAGAAAGGTGGAGGGGTGCTTTGAGTATCGGCCACACACATTTTTAACTTCAGTGTAACATGCAGCAGCAATGAAAAACCTCATCAGCCCATGAATACTCAGGTGACACTTTCATCATAGAATGACAGAACGGTTTGGGTTGGAAGGGACCTTAAAGACCATCTAGTTCCAACCCCCCTGCCATGGGCAGGGACACCTTTCACTAGACCAGGTTGCTCAAAGTCTCATCCAGCCTGGCCTTGAACACTTCCAGGGATGGGGCATCCACAGCTTCTCTGGGCAACCTGTGCCAGTGCCTCAGCACCCTCTCCGTGAAGAACTTCTTCCTGATATCTAATCTAAACCTCCCCAATTTCAATTTAAACCCATTACCCCTTGTCCTGTCACTACAGGCCCTTGTAAAAAGTCCCCCCCAGCTTCCTTGCAGCCCCTTCAGGTACTGGAGTTTTAATTTGGAGTTGATGCAGTTTGGTTTTTATATATAAGAAGGATGGTCAAGACTGTTTACAGCTCCCTGGTGAATCCAGGAGATAGGTGGTATGGGAGATCAGAGTGATGGGAGATTTGTTTGATTATGGTGTGCCGTCCTTGAAGTATTTTGGTGGCCTCTAAGGTGAGAAAAGTTGCTTCTGAGTTCTAGAAGGCAGTGCGCTGGTTTTGCAACCTACTGTTGATTGCTTCTCCAGATCAGTTTTTGTTATTCCTAAAGCATCATAATTCGAAGCTGTATGAAGTGGACGTGAGGTCATATGAGAATCTGAATTTGATTTGTATATAGCTCTTGAGATTTCTGAGGAAAGGTTATAACGTGTACTTTAGAATTCAGGCCTTAAAAACCTTCAACCTTGACTGGCAAATACATTTGTATTTGGTGTATATGTTTTGTAAACTGGCTTTGGAATTCTTTAGACCGGTGTTACCAGTGATTGTTCTGGGATGCTGGAAATCTCCCTGCAGTATCCTTTTACCAGATAACACAATGTACAACTTTCACTAGTACACTTGAAAACGTGCTCTTTTTTTTTTAATATACTGAGTGGAGATGCTGTAATCACATCTCGCATTATCTACGATCATGTTGGAAACTCACAGTACCAATTACTGCCTTGGTAAGGTCTGTGAAAAACAACTGTCTGCCCGTGCCAGAACACAGGGAGTGCTTTGATGGTATATACTGGATACAATACCTTGCTGCTTTTCTGCTGACAGGTACCAGGGTTTTCTAGGCAGGGGGAGGGGGCATGTAAGTCTGTATTTTATAAATAACAAGCATGTCAGACATTAATGTCTGCTTGTTTAGGAAAAGCCTTCACTGGGAAAGTATTTCTCCTAATAGAAATTGTGAATAGAGTCCTCTTAACCCTTCCGGAGTGTTCCAGAGCCTGTGGCCCAGAAGAGGCACCACTCATACTGCCTAGGAGTCGGTGCACTGCTCTTTTTTTGTCAGGCCTCGAAATTTCTGGAGTAAAGGCGGGTTTCAGTTTCTACATCATTCTGCACACACTCAGCTTAGTGTATGCTGGAGATCTAAGACCACTCTCAAAACACTAAAACACCTGTTTTCAGGTCTGAGGCTGGTACTTACAGCTGCCTGTTTCGAAGCCAGCATTTCGTCATGCCTGTATTTCAGTGGGTACTGAATCTTAGTCCTTAAATAAAATGCTTACATTTGCATTTACTGCATGTAAATGTTACTTAACTGTATCAGTCCAAGTTGTTGGAAAAAGAATTGCAATTTAATTTTAGAACCTTATTTTCCAGCATAATCTTCAAAATGCTATTTTAGAAGGTTTGTGTGTTAAACCTGGAAATAATGCAACATAGCAAACCCAAATGAAAAGAAAAAATGCAGCGTCAAGTGGCAATGAACTGGATTTCATCGAGAAGCTATTAAAACAGCACATGAAATAAAGGCTTCCACCCTCTGAGCAGATGGACTCAGAGAGGTGAAAAGACCTGTGCATTGCAGAACACCGAGGAGTACATTAACAAACACAAATTGCCTCTTACTTCTACTGTTATAGATCAAACACCATGGTGTGCTGGGTTCAGCCAGG